GGTGCGGTGAGGGGGTGCGGCCCCGCTCCGGCGGGGGGGAGGGCGGCGGTCCTCGGGTTCTTCCCTCGCCAAAACGACGAATCTCGGGAGGGAGCTGAGGTCGAAGTGGGAGCTGGGGAGCGCCGGGGCCGTGAAGGGTTTCCCTGCAAAGCCGCCTGCGAAGTGATGACAAGCTTAGTGCACATCAGTGGGACTGCAGATACCGCCAGTTTGGGATCTCTAAGCAGAAGACTGATAAGAGAGTCAAGCATTGTATTACGGGTGGATGTTGCGTTGGGGGACATAGTTTAGTGGGTTGATAGGGCTGGGACAAAGGCTGGACTCGATGATCTTCAAGGTCTCTTTAAGCTGAAACTATTCTGTGATTACTTGGAATTTGTGGTGCACTTTGTGGTATAACCTACATTTAATCCCTGATTTAAGATGCTGGCAATAGGTGTGTATGTGTAAGATGTAAGTTGGCACTGATGTTGTTTGGCTGTGCACTCCTTTCATCTTTCAGGTTACGTCTTTTCAAGGAGTGGCTGTTCGCAGCCTCTGCACATCCCCCCCCCATGAGCACCCAGAACATGGAAGATTAGTTTATAAAGGAAACTTGGCAAAGGCAGTGTTAGGTATGTCACTTGAATAGATTTGCATTGTGGTTTTTTTAGTTAACAATGTTTAATAACTTTAAAATGCAGTGTTTTAAGAGTGAGTGCTTTTCCTTCCAATTCTGATAAAACCCGGATCCTCTGTAGAGCAAAAGAATGTGGTGGTGGTGCTTGTGCTTCTATGCTTTGGGTGTGCAGGGAGTTCTGTAGGTACTGTGTAGCTCTGTAACCCCTCAGCCTCATCCTGTTTCTCTTGCAATCTTTGAAGTGCATTACCCAACCCAGTAGCAACAAAAGACTATCTGTAACTGCTATTTACATTCTGTATGCTTTCAAATTTTAATGAAATGTTTCTGAAGTAGACAGATACTGTGATGAAATGCACTGTCTGTAATAAGACTTTGTTGATCTTTCTTTGGATGGTTAATGTTAAAAAGTATGGCATTGGATGTTTTCTGAGACACGTTTTTGAAACATGTCTTAAAGAAGGAGGAAGTGTATGTTAACCTCCTTAATTCACGCGGCATCTTAGACTACTGGTTCTCATGGCAACTTAAAGACTGTGGGTGATCCACATCACTGGATAGTGTCTATCAAGCAACATGCAAGATGTCTGTGGAGTACTCATTAATATTCAATAACTGAGATTTTTCAGGTTATGTGTGAAGGGGAACCAAGCAAGCTTCTTTGTAATGCACAGTCAGCGTCTCCATTAATTGTTGATGAAGAGAGATATTCCCAGTCACATCTGCAATAATTACCAATATGGGTGTCCGTGACTGGAGTCAAGTTTCTCTTGAAACTAGTTTCCTATTTGTGAAGTAAAAAAGTCATAGGTTTGCATCATAACTAGTATGTGACTTCATAATAGAAATAGAACCAGCTACCAGCTTTGACACAGAAATATAAACAAACCAGAACAGTGGTTAAAATATCAGGGTTGAACTTCCAACGGTTTCTTAGTGAGCTTAAAAAAAAAAAGGAAGTGGATTTTCAGTAACTTCAGCTGTTCAAGTAATGCCATCGATACATGGCAGCAGAACATATATAATTGTAAAGACAGTTTCACTCATAACTATTATCATAACTATTAACCTCTGCCTTCTTTTTTTTTTTTCCTTCCCCTATAGGTGTGAAGTTCTTCTCTTACTCCACCAGCATATTCAACCTGTTCATGATGCCCTACATCATGCTCAAAACGGGCATCGGATTTGAAAGTCTGCTTATGCAAGCCGCCTTTTGTGGGTTGATCGGGTTCTTTACGTTTGTAACGCCAGTTACTTTGCATGTCCTCACAAAAGGCTACGTGATTCGACTCTATTATAAAGATGACATGGACACATATACAGCCATTACGTACAATGCAGTCTTGGGAGAAAAAGCAACTGTTTTCCATCAGAAAGACGTAAAGATTCCAGACATCACCAAGATGTTCACAACGTTTTATGCTAAAACGAAATCAATGCTTGTTAATCCGACACTTTTCCCGAATCCTCAGGATTATAACCATCTCATGGGCTATGACAAATCCTTTTATTTTAACATAGAGGAGGAAAAGGAACCTGGTAAAAGGAAATAGTCTGAAGTTAATGAATGTCACTATCGCTGTTCATGGTGCAGTATATATGTGAAAGATTGTAAAATTCTATTACACTTTCTTAAGTTTCAGATAGCTAGTGTTCCCTAAATGCATCTTGGAATGTATATAAAAAAAAAACCAACATTTTTTTAAATGTGCAGACAGTGTGAGGGTTTCTTCAGGGGTAATGACACAAAACAGTAAAAACAAAACAAAAAACCCCCGCCTTATATCTGTCTTGTGTTTATTTGTTCTTGGCTTAGTTTTTATTGTTAACTATTCGGGAGAACTTTATAGTGCATGATCTCACCATGTCCCATTTAAAAAGGAACCATTCCTATAAGAAAATTCACAAATACTCATTATCTATCAAGTAGATTGTTACGCTTGTAAGCCTTAACGATTAATTGTAGTTGATCCAAAAAGATGGGGCTTTTTCATTAATGCTGCTGATGGTAGGAAGGAAATGGAGACAACTTTAACTTCCCTTTGTGAGAGCATCGGTTACGAGGAGGACAGAGAAAACGACGGGTATTGCTGCTGGTTCCTGCGACAGCCTCCTTCTAGAGGCCTGCAGGCCTCTGTGGGTGATGGGGGGAACGGCTGCGTCGCAATAATCATCTCCAGCTACTCACAGCTACTAAACAGTTTCTTAAGCTAGAGTCCCACTCCGAGCAGCCCTGTCCCCCGAGGTGGAGAGCAAGAAGCCTCGTTGTGTTGGGTGGGAGGAAGCGCCGAGGTGTAAGATTTGCTCTGTGAATATTCTGTTGAAAACAGGTGCTGTATTTGAACCAGCCTGAAGAGAATACGAGCAGCTAGTGGTCAGAATGGATTCTGACAGCGTTTATGTAAGGTGGGGAAGCAAAAGGGAATCTCTTGTAGAGAAGTGTGTAGATCTTGTGCCTTTAAGAGACATACCTCTTGGGTTTTAGCACTGCAAAGAAAGCTGCCTTTAGCTCAAGGAAAAAGAGGATTAGACCTTCTCTTGTGACTAGGCTGGGCAGTTCTGCATTCAGTATGCAGAAGTTGGATTTGAATATTTTAGAAGTTGAATTTAGATGTTTTTAGCCCAGTGGGAGAGTTGTCACGAACTGACAGGTACTTGTTTTCAAGTGATGTAGGGTCTTAAGTATTTTGAGGCTTAAAAATTACTGAATTAAAAGAAAACCACCAAAATGCCAATTAATTCTTTTGTATCAGCGGTGCCCTTTCAAATAGGTAAATTTGATGCTTGCTACTAATTAAGTCATGCTGATACTGCAGATAAAGTGGAAATAATTATAGCTACCTTTGCAGATATTCCCGAAGTTCTAGCTGAAAAAAAATGTATTTAAAAGTCTAAATGTCTTCCAAGACAGTTTCCTGTCATAGGATGACACTACAGATCATATTAAAACATCAGTGTTTTTAAATATTGTTTCTTCTCATTCAAAACTGCTCTCAATATACTTGCTGAGTAATTAAAAAGGAAATCATCCCATCCAGATATTTTTGGAGCAATTCTTTTGTGTGGCACAGATATAATTTTAAAAGCATGATGTAGCCCCATTAAGCCAGTATCACTTCATAGGTAACAATAATGTAAAAAAAAATTTTTATAAATGGTCTTGAAGACATGAGGCCAGTAACAAGCAATTCTGATCTCCTGGTTGTACTACCTGTCCTTATTGAAATGACGTTTTACACCTGATTAAAAGTAATCTTTCCATTCTTTCCATGTCTGATGTGTTCATTCTCTTCTTTTTGTCATTGTAGGTGTAGTTAACTTTGTATTTAAATGCTGAATAAAGGGAGACCAGGAAATAGGGTTTGCAAGAGAAGGTGACAGAAAGGCTCCAAAATTATGTTTATCTACTCCTTGAGCAATATCAAAATTCTCAGCCTTTTCTTCTGACTGCAGGCTCGCTGTTACATTTGAGATTTGGCTGATTCAGATTTAAGCAGCAATAGTAAGAGATTTCCATCCCAGTGGTTAAGTTTCTTAGAAAAGGAAGCTAAACATTATTCTGCTTGTCTTCTGGCAGTCAAATGCAAGCAGGTGGCTTTCGGACATAGAGACGATTAAAAAAAAAAGAATTAAAAAAGTCAAGATTTTTTTCCAGAAGGTAGATAATGATTCTGACCATGATACGTAGTCTTAGAAAAATATTTTATGCTTCCAATGTGCAACTTGAAAATAGTAATCCCATAGTTTTCTTTTAATATTACTTTTATATTAAAGAAAGGGAAGACCAAACTTACTAGAGATGCACAATATTGTACCTGGTTCTACCTCATTTGCTGTGAACTTAGCAAACTCAGTTTGGGAAATGATCCAAATTATAAACCTTATAATACCTGTTATGGTTGTCAAATACGTATGGCCTTGGCCTCACCCCTGTTAGCATTTCTGGTGCCCTTGTGCATTGTCTCAGGATTCTCAGATTTGGCTTTTTAGTTACAGTGTGTTCTTAGAATCATAGAATTGTTTAGGTTGGAGAAGACCTTTAAGATCATCAAATCCAACTGCTAACCTAGCAATGCCAGGCCCACCACTAAACCGTGTCCCTAAGTGCCAAGGGTACACGTCTTTGAAATACCTCCAGGGATGGTGACTCCACCGCTTCCATGAGCATCCTGTTCCAATGCTTGGCAACCCTTTTGGTGAAGAAATTTTCCCAATATCCAATCTAAACCTCTCCTGGCACAACCTGAGGCCATTTCCTTTCATCCTATTACTTGTTACTTGTGAGAAGAGACTGAGCCCCACCTCACTAGAACCTCATTTTGGGTAGTTGTAGAGAGTGATGAAGTTTCCCCTCAGCTTCCTCTTCTCCAGGCTAAACAACCCCAGTTCGTCACAGGACTTGTTGTTGAGTCCTTTCACCAGCTTTGATGCCCTTCTCTGGACATACTCCAGCACCTCAATGTCTTGTAGTGACGAGCCCGAAACTGAACACAATGTTCAGGTTGAGAGTAGTAGAGATTAGGATTCAAACTGCAGTTTGTTCTCTGTGCTAGAAACATAATAAAGGAATGGAAATGTAATCCGAAAGGACTCCTAGATGCATTTCTAGTTTACTTTGGGTTCTGAACTGCCTGATTCAATACAGATACTCTGTAGTGTGTTTTCAAGTGGGTAACTCTGAAATGCTTGGTATCCTTGTAAGCTAGGAAACGTGCATAAACCAAAACAGGTTCTCTTGCTGCAACAAATCCTGAAAGAAAATTGACTAGTGTGAATGTTTCAACAATCAGAGTGCTATCATGTAATTCCCAAAGCCTGGTTATGTTAGTTCCACATCCTTCATGATCCTACTAATTTTGTGAACTACTATTTTCTTTTAGTTTATTTTTCTTTCAGTCTACACACTTGCAAAAACCAGATCTAACTGCAGAAGTGTTACTACCTGCTAACATTTTCAACCCTGAAAGCTGCTGCTGTTTCTTTGGGTGTAGGTAACTTGTGAATGACATGGAAGAAGCAATCAATTTGTAAGACTTGGAGAATATTCTCCATACAGGTGGAGATTCTGAAGGAAATACTGATATAAAAGCCCAGTATTCTAAAACATGTGATTTACAACCTGTCTTATTTACAAGGCTACACCTACTTAGAGGGCTGCCAGCTCCTGCAGCCTTGCCTTTAGCAACCAGTCACTTGTCCTTAGCAGCTGGGTCTTGCATCTTACTCTGCTGCCACTCAATCTGATGTGAAAAGCAGGAACGTATGAGATAACTCTAGCCTCTTTCCTAGTTTCCTAGACACATGCTTTGTATCTACTTCCAGCCTTAACAGCTTCCACAAAAGTCATAGATAACTGCTTGCTTTTTTTTTTTTCTTTTTTTCTTCCATTCCCCTCCCTCGAGGAGTACAGACAGGATACATGCACTTTTTTTCCGTCTTCTACTAAATACTATTTTCTTGCTGGTGTCCTTCTCCCTTTTTCTCAGATTTTTGGCTTTGTCCACAATATTATTCATTAGTCCCTATCTGTTCTTAATTATAAAGTAAAGTACAATGCTTCTTGTCATTCTTTAATGTTAATTTTAAATTATCCCACAGCCCTCAGCCTTTTCTTGCAAATCTAAAAAATTCTGATGAGAAAATTATCCCCTTTTGATACTTCAAAGGGAAATCTTTAAAGCTTCGAGGTATTTCACACTCTTAACCACACTATCTAGAATGAAAAGGTAACTAATTCCACTGGAACTTTTTTTATTACAAACCAAAATCATTGTGTTGGCAAAGATGAAGAAAAATCTGTGTAGATTTTTGCATGGTACTGTGAGGGCCTAATTTAGGTGATGGAAACTTCATGAAATTCTCTTTGTGCTATAAAAATTAAAAGCACATATGTGAATTATTACAATTGCTCTGTGTAACTTAATAGGTGGAAACTTGGTGAGCTGTTGTAATTGCTGTAATCGGGTTGCTCTGGAGTTCTGTCGTCACACCAGGAATTTCTTCATGCCCCTATGTACAACACAGCAAACTGCACACCCCCCCGAGAAATGGGACAAGTGTGCTAGCTAGGAGTTGGATCCACTATAATAAGATTATCCCACAGATATACAGACCTCCCTCAGTGAGCAGCTATTTTAAGCAGGGAGGAACAGAGAACAAGAGCAAATGCCACAAAACATGTCCAGCTGTCTCCATTTCTGGAATACCAGGGTGGACAGTGTTGCTGTGGTATGCTTTCTGTTAGCCTCAGGTAGGACATAACCCTTTCTTCTCTCTTCACCCTCTGCTTTCTCTTCTTTTTGACAACTTTAATGGTTTAATATATACTTTAGAGTGTAACTGTAAGCTTTAATCCTAAACTTGGCTTGGAAAGAATAAACCATAAGCCTACTGGCAACAGGCAGAGAGTTATTTCCAACATAATTATTTCCACAGGATACCACCTGGTGTGTGTTTTCTTCTCTTTAACAGTCTCCAGTGGTTTAATGTGATATATTCAAATCAAATCACTCAGCCAAAGTGCATATGATGTTTAAAAAAGATGTTCCAAATAATTCATACCACTTTTTCTTTCCACAACTGTTTGCTTTCTTACTCAAATGCTACTAGCGCAGCCCTGGATATGTTCTGGTCCTTCGTCAACTGCAGGTAGAGGAGCTGAATCCTCTACCTCTTTCTAGTATTCCTGGGTGTGACTTTTTACTTCCACTACAAACGTTGTCAAAGACATGATGAGAGGATTTGAGAAGGGAGACTTACCCACAAATTGCTACAATTTTCTTCGTGTAGATTGCTGAGTATGTTTTTGTTTTATCAATATATTCCTTACACCGTATATGTAGCACTTTTTCGATTGCAGTGTCTTCAGCAGCAACCCTAAACCCAGGATCAGAAGTGATGAACATGTCTGCTTCCGGCTGCAAAAATATCTACTGCAGAACTGTCACAAACAGTCCTGCAAGGAAAATTAAATTATTATTGCCTCTTTCTTTATTGAATAAATGTGTTTAACATCTTAAAAGAGTTTTCCATTAAATGAGGTTTTCGATACATGCCAAGAGCTAGGACAATTTTTAATTCTGTCAGACTAACATTTTGAAACAGAGTACTTTCCTCTGCTATACTGGTATATTGTTATTTATTTGTCTGTGATGGGGTAACATAATACATATTATAAATCCTTCCCGAGGGAGATTTCAGTGACTTTTATAAGTGCTTATCTGGTTAAAGTACTCATCTGCAGCCAACAATCCAAATACAAAGTGATTACTTTGAAAAGCAATCACACATAAGGTAATCACTTTTTAGGTTTAATGATGAGGAAGATAAAAATATCATAAATTAGTTTAAGGATTTTAACCACAAACTTTTAAGGAGGCTTGGAGCCTATCTTCTGCTCTCAGCAGCTCAAACATACACAAAATGAGAAGTCATAGGTGTGAAGTCCTGAATTCTCTAGACTTGATTTATTATATGTACTGTTAGCTGGATATGAGAGTTGGTCCCTACTAAATGCTGTTGCAAAGGATTTCAAAATAAATGAAGTAAATTGCCACAAAACTGGTGAAGTAATACTACTGTGTACCTGTCCACTTTCTCTCCTTTCCACCTTCCTTCTGGATCAGAGAAAGAAGTTGTAGTAAAGAAAGAATATTTAATAAAAATACTAGTATTTAGTAAAAATAGTTCAGTGACCCTTTATACTGGCTTGAAAAGGGTAGAGCAGACTCCTCACACCTCTAGTGCACTGGGTTGGGGCTTCAGTGAGCATCACAAGACGTCACTTCTAAGAACAGAATTGACACAGGCATCAAAACCCACAAGAATCTAAAACTGAATTTGCTGAAAAGACTTAAAAATGATTGAGGTTATTTTGATTTAAGGACAGTTTGAACAGACACAGTGGTCCATGGTTCTAGGCTTTATAATCATGGTGATAATCAAGTGATATTTTAGTCCTGATGTCAGTAGTGCTTATTGATCCTGTTTTCCTATTAGCTAACCAGATCCTTTTAAAATGGACCCTAATTGCACTGTTTTTTTTCAGCATTGGAATAGTCTTGACCTGTGCAATAAAAGTGCACAGGACTTTAAGGAAGAGGAGAGGATACAGAGGTTCCCCCCTCCCCGTGTCTGTTTATCCAAGCCACCAGGGGGGACTCATTCCTCATCTATATCATTTACTGCAGCAAGTATCTAAAAAAAAGTCCCCACCTATTCTTGAACCAGATCTAGAGAGTCACGGAGTTCAGCAGAAAGCTTGTCGATTTATGTAAAAAGAACTTTTGTATAAAATCTTGTAAATCTGCAGCCCTCTTTCCAGCCTGCCCATGAGTACATTTGCCACCCAACGCACTGTGCAGCGAAACCCAAGTCTGGCAGCAGAGCGATGTGCCTTCAGCTGAGTAATCTCATATATCTATAGGGTACAGCCAGTGCTATCTCATGCCTGCTTTGAACTGACCTGTGACTTTGACGTTACTGGACTGACAGAAGGCTCAGCAGAGAGCCTGGCTTGGCTTCTCGCACGTTAGACTTTCTCCACATCAGTGGCCATGGTTTTGTGGCTGAAAGGAATTTTTTTTGGCTGTACATGCACAAGGTACCTCTTCTGTAGTGTCTACTTCACCAGTGCTTAGTGGCTGTCTCATTACTTCATTTCTTTTTTCGAGCTATTGAGGCCTTCCTGATTTATTTCAATTTCACTATGTAGTTTACTACTTTTAAACAACATTTGGCTATTTTGAAACAGGAATGTATTACTGCTATGATTACAATGGGTTTGTATGTTTTAAAGCATCCTGTGAAACAACCGTAAAAATCTGTATGTGATGTATGTTCTCTGGGGATCTGACAGGAAAGGCATATGATTTTGAATTCCCACTTAAAAGCCAAATGTTAGAAGCTCCTTTCACCCTTGAATTCTGTCAGGCCAGTGGATCTCTTTTTGTGGTGGAAATTTCTGTGGAAATACTGAAAAGAATTGTCTAGCCATACTAAATTTTCAAATGTTTATCTTATTTTGTGAATTATTGCATATATTAACTTATTATTTTGTATTTTCAGGTACTTTTAATTGAATTCTCAGCTTCCTTAACTAATCTGTGAACTCTCTCCTATCTTCTGGGCACAATCAGTCATGTTTTTGAACATATCACTATTCCTAAGTTACCTTTTGTGTTTCTTGTTCAGACTTCTGAAAACCAATTTCTTAATCTTTTATTACTTTACCTGTGTAATATGTAAAATACTCCCTTGGCGTGCGCAGAATTTGCAAGAATAAAAGCTTTTAGGAGATATGATGGGGAGTGAGGAGTCAGAACTATTGGTTAAGTTATATTTGTTGTCACCAATTTTTATTGAGTTTCCTGCTAAGCACCCAACCAAGTACCTATCTATTGTATATACTGCTTCTTTTAAATAAAAAATTCAATTTCTGATGTTAGAGGAGCCTGCAGATATGCATACAAACCAAGAACGTGACTCATGAGAAAATAATTTAAGTCCTTTAAATTATTCTTCCATAAATTCGATAAGTTTCCATATTTTATTATATTCTGAAAAAAACAGTAATTGTGTTTCCTGTCAGTTAGATGGTGATTGCGCTCTCCTGGATGAGGTATGAGGCTTTTTTGGGTCTCTCTCTGTAGTTAGGGCTGAGTTTGTGCAGTAAAAGCTGACCCAGTTTATTCTACAGAATTGATATAGCAAGTATAGATCAAATATGTTATTCTTTGTGTACTACACTAACAGAAATAAGGGGGCACATCTAATATAAAAAGTGTTTTAAGAGTTTTTGTTTCAGCATGTCAAACTTGAACACCAAAATCTGCAACCTAGGCTGTTTTCAGCTTAAAATCCGGCTCCTTACCAATCTTCACGTGTGACAGGTAGATTCTGTGTTCTTATAGAAACATCAGAATTGGACAGCTTTTTTATTAATTGTCTCATGTTCTATGTTCACCTGGACCCGTTCTTGTGCACCCAGCAGTCAGGGCTTGGGCTCCCACCTCTTGGGCAGCTTCTCCAGCAGAGACTGCAGGGAAGATCGCGGGAGCAGGTCATAGAGCGAGGCTGGGAGGTGGCCGTGGGACCTACCAGTTGTAATTTCATGGACTTTTAAAACTGCCTTCAGTAAGAAGTGTAACTGTGATAGATAGAGCTTTGAAGATGGTAGCTGACATGGTGTTGGACATCGGTGGTTCTACTCATGCACGTCAGATGGTAGCGTTCATCTCCCATCGTTACCTCTGTTTGGAAATACATCATCTCATTACATTCTTCTGGAGTGCCAGCATGCTCTTAAAGTGTGGTGAGCTTTGTAAGAAATTAATCTTGAAAACTTGTGTGAGTTACTGGCTACCATATCAATAAAAGACTGGACTTGAATTTCATCCTTTGTGGATTTTTCTTTAGTATTTAGAGGATACTCTGAGTGTTTGAAATCATGCCTTAGCCTCTGACTCTGATGAGTCACCTAAACTTGCTCTTTACGTACTTCTGGTAATCATGATTTTGTTTCTTCTCACTTCCTCATTTCACACAGTTTTCTCTTTCATTTTTCACTTGTGGCTTGAGCTGCGTTGTCTGGGGAAAATGTAACAACAAAGGCAGGAATTCTTTTTCTTCACAGAATTTATTGTGATGATAATTGATAATGCTGCAGTAGGATTAATTAAGATCGCAGAGAATTTGACAAAACAACCAAATATTCCCTGAAGACACGTGACTGAGGATAAGTGTGCTGGACTTTTGTTCCTCTTTCCTCAAAACAAGTTTTTATTTCATTGAATACTCAGCCAAAAATCTAACAATGTTTGGACTTTTTTTCTTCATTTTATTCACCCCTGGAGTCAGTGAATTTCTTTGTATGTCATCAGACCTAGAATTATCATATACTTTTTGTGGTAAGTAAAAAATAGCTTATTTTTTCATACTGGTGCTTTCACGATAATTATTGTTGTGTGAAAAAATGTGTACTTCCTTTGAGATTTGTTTCTTTGATGAATATAGAAAAAAAAAGTTCAGCTAGTATATATTTCTGTTATTAATTACCTTATTTTAAGAATTGTATTACATAAGTGTAAATATTACCACAATGCTGATTGCAGCGGCTAGGAGATGAGTTTACTCCCAAGTAAAGAGGCATGTTTTGACTGAGGAAAAACTAGAAGATAAGGGATTTAAACTTGTTCATATATTCATCAATATTCATATACTCATCAATGACCTGGATGTGGGATTAGAGAGCACTGTCAGCAAGTTTGCTGATGACACAAAACTACGAGGAGTGGCTGACACACCAGAAGGCTGTGCTGCCATTCGGAGAGACCTGGACAGGCTGGAGGGCTGTGCGGGGAGAAATCTTATGAAATTCAGCAAGGGCAAGTGTAGAGTTTTGCACTTGGGAAAGAATAACCCCATATACCAGTATAGGTTGGGGACTGAACTGCTGGAGAGCAGTGTAGGAGAAAGGGACCTGGGAGTGCTGGTGGACAGCAGGATGACCATGAGCCAGCAATGTGCTCTCATAGCCAAGAAGGCCAATGACACCCTGGGGTGTATTAGAAGGGGAGTGGCTAGTAGGTCCAGAGAGGTCCTCCTGCCCCTCTACTCTGCCCTGGTGAGGCCACATCTGGAATATTGTGTCCAGTGCTGGGCCCCTCAGCTCAAAAGAGACAGAGAACTGCTTGAGAGAGTCCAGCGCAGAGCCACAGAGATGATGGAGGGAGTGGAACATCTCCCTGATGAGAAAAGGCTGAAGGAGCTGGGTCTCTTTAGCTTGGAGAAGAGGAGGCTGAGGGGTGACCTCATTAATGTTTATAAATATGTCAAGAGGAGTGTCAGGAGGACAGAGCCAGGCTCTCTTCAGCGATGTCCCATGACAGGAAAAGGGGCAATGGGTACAAGCTGGAACACAGGAGGTTCCACAAAAATATTAAGAAAAAACCTTTTCACTGTAAAGGTGACAGAGCACTGGCACAGGCTGCCCAGGGGAGTTGTGGAGTCTCCTTCTCTGGAGACATTCAAAATCCACCTGGACGTGTTCCTGTGTGACCTACTGTAGGTGATCCTGCTCTGGCAGGGGGGCTGGGCTAGGTGATCTCTATAGGTCCCTTCCAACCCCTCACATTCTGTGATTCTGTGATTCTGTTTTGCAAGTGCCATATAGTATAAATTATACAGATTGATTTAACCAGTATGTTTCAATGGAAAGTTTTCAAGTGAAAAAATGGATGAATGTGGTATTCTGCCAGGCTGAAGGATCAGTCAGTCTTTGAGTCAGCATAATGTGGCCCTTCTTGCCATGCTGAGGGACATGGTTTAGTGGTGTTGATAGGGCGAGGACAAAGGTTGGACTCGATGATCTTGAAGGTCTCTTCCAACAAAAACTGTTCCATGATTGTCTGATTGTCTGATTCTATGAACCTATGAACCTATGATTCTATGTCTGTGTCACAGACCCTTGGATCTATATAGTTCACTGCGTATTTTGGTCAATTCTGCAACAACTTGGCACCTCCCTGATGTCTGTATGGAAGAGGCTCAGTGTGCCCATGCAGACTCATCAGTCAGAAGGTGGGCTCTGGAGGAGATATTTCGGAAGGAGAAGCCCATGACCTTTGAAAAGCTGTGTGCTTTACTAGTGTATAACACCTGTAAAATAGCTATATAAACAGGAGGGGCTGTTTATTTTGGGTACCTTGCTATACAGTAATCCTCATGTTAAAAGTTCAACAAGGGTAGAAGTGGGAGTACTTAAGCTCACAGACCAAACCTTGGAGATCACAATAAGTGTTGTGTGCCCTTTCTCCCGTCGTAATTTCCCGTGGTGAGATGAGAAGCTGACTGCTGGTTACTGACAGATAGCTTACTGTTTGCATGCTTTAATCCACGAAACACAGCACCCTTTGCTGTCAGTCACCCTGCTACCTCATTTGCTAGCTGGGTTAGCACCCATCCCCACCTTGCCTCCATGTTGGTGGCAGGCAGGGTGCTTCTTCAGCTCCAGCACACGAGGGAGCGCACAAGCAAACTGAATTTGACAGACTTCTTTCCCAAAATTAAAATACAAATAAAAATACTATCTGGAAATTTTTCCAAAGGCTGTCCCTGAATGATTTTTTTTTTTAAAAAACCACCTAAAATGTCAGCTAATGGGCTTTAAATTTGATTAGATACAGGTTGTAGGATTCTTTATCGCACTGTATCTGACAAAATGCTAGGTGGGTCACTCACAGAATAAATCTACTCAAAGGCTCATTTACATTATCCTGGAGAAGGTGCTGGTGCATTAAAAACATTTTTAGCTGTTGTCAGCAAGTTTATGTAGATTCCATGGTTAGCATAAGTAGGGATATTTTCAGCAGAGGACTATGCTGGCTTAACGCTCATAAAACGTTTGTGTAACTTCAGAAGAGAAATAAAGGCATTTTTGCCTCTGAGTTTTGTGTGAAAAAATATCAGCAACCAAAGAATTGACTGTTCTTGCTACTTAAAGAAATATTGTGTTGTTTTTCCCTCTAAGCATATAAAAATTTAAAAATACAATTTAAAATACAGATTGAAATTGCATGTTTAAGATTTAATGCTGATATTTATATTTAATGATTTTACGGTATATACCTTATATTAAATAAATTTTTAAATGTGTATATATTTATTGTAAGTATGTATATATGTTTATTTTTATTATTTTCATGGAGAAGCCTATTCACACCACCAATATAAAATACTTTTTCCCTGCAGATTCTACAGCTCACACTTTCATGTTTAATCTGACACCTTGCAACATCATGAACAGATATGTCTGGAAGGCTGCTCTTAACTGGATTCCAAGTGAGTTTCTCTTGACGAGACAATTATTTGTATTTTACAAATGCAAAAAATCTAAGCAAAAAGCTGATATATCATCCCAAATGCCAAATGATTTAGGGGATAAGTTTCTATCATTAAAAATCAAATAGATAAGGTTCAGTGACAGACAGAAATGATGATTTGTGGAAATAAGTGTGAGTTTTACTTGCTGGAATTTGCTGTTCTTCTGGCCTGAAGAAGATCCAAGTGTTATTAAGGAAAGAGAATAGCATTAGGCTCTACAAGTATGGCAGGACTTCTACTAAAAATATGCATGTTCCAGAAGCTATAAATGGTACTGAATTGTGTACACAAACCCAACTTTAATCTTTAAATCTGCCTTTAACTGGCAAGATGAATTACTTACGAAATGGCTGTATCAAAAACTTCACCTTCTAAGTAAAATCTCTGGAGCTGGACTAAGTTTCCTTCCCTAGGAATATATCTTTATGATGGCCACAAACATTCGGCATTGTTTGCAACACCTGCTAAAAACTATAGATTCCTAATCTAAGTATTTGGGTTAGCTGTGGAGCTCAGTGAACTCTGTTATCTTTTGCTGAGGAAATTAAAACAGATTTTGAAATTGTCGCTTCAATATTTTTTTAGACTTTTTTTTTTAATTAAGACCAGCTTTCTGTTTTCTGGAAGTAACAGTTTTCAAAATACATATTATTGTTAGTTTTGGGCGGAGTCTTAAAAAAATATTGTATTTCAGAGAAAATTAGTTTTTATCTAAATAGCCTGCTTGCATATGTGTTTTTCCACCCCACCAGCTACCATTTTCTTCCTTCCAATGTCTTAACTAGGAAGTGACATCACCTTTTTGAAGCTTGTCTTTGATGTCTTGTACGACGGTGCCAAAGCACTCCACTGGAAAGAAGTCCTATGCAGTGGAGCTGACGATGAATATTCAGTGTGTGGGGCAGTGAAAGGAGGTCAGTGTGGAAAATACATGGTGCTTTTCCCTTGCCTGGTGGGTTCCCCCACAACAGGGCCATATCCTGCCAGCCCTTTTTACATCACCAAGCAGAGTTCTTAAAGACCTATTGATCATCCCATGCAGACAGGTTTTTCTCTCTGCAATCTAGATCAATTCACCCTGCTTGGCAAACAGCAGACCTCAGAGCAGGCAGTTGTCCACTGCCAGAACCCCACTAAACCAGAGAATTTCTGAATTCTGTTCTTTCACATTGTTGTACTGCAGTTTCCATCTCTCTAAATTGGGATTACCAATACTCTCCTTCTCATGACACTTTTATTGTTTGATTGGACTATACAGAAAACTTGGGTGGGGCAAGTTTAATTCCTATTAGGATGAGGTTAACTTCTATTTTCTCATGTGGTTTAGACAAATAGGCGGAGTTCTGGGAGAAGAAACAGGTGAGGGCTTTATCAGTGGAAGAGTAAATTACATTGGCAGTGGTGCTGAGAGATATGCCATATTGCTTTGAAGTTATTTAGGAAGTGTGATTGATGGCTTTCTGATTACGTAACCACTTAGAGTAACCTATCTCTGTTTTACAGAAACAATTGCAACAGAATTTGACATTAAAGGTTCAAGGATAAAGTTTCCAAAGGTACTTTTCAGCAATTTATTTAAAGAAATAGTAACAGTAAAATCACATACTTATATGTATATATTTTCTGAAAAGAGATGTTTACCCAAACTGTGGAAAAAAGCACAAAAATGTCAGAAAACTTTCTTGTGCTTGAAGTGATGACTCCAGAATGGTGGCATCTCTGAAATGCTAAATGTCTTTGGATTATTATTCCTCCTTTGTTTTATAAAAGAAAAGATCAAAGACATCAGTTAATATCACCTTAATAATTCCATTTTGTTTGATAAATTATTGTTTTCTTTTACCTGTTTGAGTAAAGCATTCCATGTTCTTTCTTCCCATTGCATTATTTTCTATACATTCTCTTCATTAGTTGATCTGTTCCCTTCCTGAAACACTCTTCAGAGATTTGAAGAGGGATGAAAATATCCAAAAGTAAAAGCAATGCTCTAGCTTTAAACCAGGAGAAGCACCAGTCCTCAGGTTAGCCCACTTGCATGCAACACCTGCCTCATCAGCTGCCTGAGTCTTCCCAAGACCCTCACCATCCCTATTAAGACCCACAAATGTCATTATGGAGTTCCTACTGGTACAAAATCTCCAGCGTGCCCTTGACTCAAAGCTTACGAGTCTCTGACAGTGCTGCACTCCATCCAGCCCAGCATCTCTTCTAGCCTCAGAGCTGGCAGCAGAGAGGAATGTCCTCTGCTACAGGCAGTCCTCCTATAGATGAGATGCTAAGGGCAGACCTGATGCTGCCAGACCAGGAACTAAGCCTAATCTTAGCCTTTGCTGTAAACTGAAAACTCTTGCAAGCTTCCCAGTCTTTAGGTTAGTCCTAAGAGCCCTTCAGCTCCCAAGCGCTCATTCCCAGTTTGCCATACCAGAAGAGGAATGTCACAGGTGTCAAAGAAGGTGGGGTAAGACCTGGGTTCAGTAGGGGCCACCAAGCTGTCCCGGTGCGTACAAAAGCCTGTTTGTGTGAGCGTGTGAAGATGGGCAGCTAGAGAACGGCTAAACCTGGGGCGATACTGCTTTATGTATCAGATTGCTGGATGTGGGTGAGCAAAGCAATGGGTCTGGAAGGAATGCTGAGGTGACACGAGGACCGATTTTGCTTACAGCAGTGTGCCATGCGTGAAAGCGTGACTGAGTTAGAGCTGGGTTTACAGCTAACGTGCAGGCAAGCAGTATCCTGCTAGTCAGGGAGCAGATGCTCCATGCAGGGAAGTGACCTGGGCACCGACAGTGTGATTTAAGTAGGCAGCTTGAGACCTCACACTAGGAGACGTGTTGGCTGTACTTTGATCAGCAACTGAAGAGTGACTGCAGCACTCTTCTCACATGGGCCCTTCCTCCCACGCTCCTCTCTCTAGTGTACTTCATCCTAATCTCGACATCATGTCAAAACTCAGGACAAACTTTTTGCCACCAATAGTAATGTGAGGTTACTTTAGTTTTCATCAAGCAGACGTTTGATGTATTCACATCATGTGTTTACTCTAAGTTGATTACTTTGGTAAACACCACTGAGGCTAAATAGCAGTTAAGTATCTAATATGTGATTATACCTGAAAACAGAAAGGTGGACTATCTGGTACAACAAACTGTTACACGCCTGGGCAGAAGCTGTCAGGCATGTAGCCTGGAGGATTTCTCTAGGAGTGCCTGTAAATCACAGAGGCTGTTATTGCAGCTACGTGTGCCTGCATATGGGTGGGTGTTGGGACAAGAAGGTGGCAAAAAGTCAGTAGAAAATGGAAGTGTTGATAGGACTGAATCCTTGCTGAACATAAACTATAAGGGCTAATAAGGCCTTACAGCAGGGACAAAAATGTCCAGTGCTGCAGAACACAGCCTAGCATATCAACTCAGTTAATTCCTGTTTGTGGAGTCAAAAATGTTACTTAAGAGAATGGCTCTGTAAACGGGAGCAGGAGCCCTTAAGAACACAGGACTTTTATTTGAGAGGACCCTGACAAGTGCAGGCAGGACTACAGCCTACTGCTTTTCCTCATTACCCCAGTCATGAAAATAAAGTTGAGCGCTACTTTTTTTTTAATGTACACTTGTATATGAATATATATATGAGAATCTTTCAGTCCTAACAGAAGTCACCAGAACAATTCCAAGTGGCTACTTAAAAAAAAAGTGGGCAGCATTATGCACTAATTTATTTTTTTCTCTTTTCTTTCTTGCTTCTTTTAGGGCAATTATAACGTTCTTTTACATGGATTCACTGACGATTCTGAGAATAATAGGGTCATATGCTTGAATTTCACCATGATAGTGAAACAAGATGCTTTCTAAATGCGACAAACATTTCAAATAATTCCAGAACACAGAGGTCGCTTCTGCAAGCAACTGGAATTAGAAGTGCAAAATAATAAGCACACTAATTTTCCTGAGGTAGAATGCATCATATACTGTCTAGAAAGCTACATGATGGATAGTCTTATCCATTTTTAACATTGCTGTAATCAGATGCTCAGCCAATGTGAACAAAACCTCTGGGAATCAGGCATCCTAATTAATCCACAGAATAACCCTGGATGTCAGGCTGAGGACTGCTGTGCTGTGCCTTGAGTTACAAAAAAGCATAGTCCTTCAGACTGCACCAAACAAGAAGTTTTTAAGTTCTGAAGTGCAAGAATCTGAGGTTTGCCAGTACTCAATTTAAAACAGCAATTTAATCTGGGAACTCTGTTATGAGTTGGTTTTTGTTCTTTCATTTAACAATAAAATTTGTTTGTACAATCAATTTGAGAAATGTGGGGGTTTTTATTTATTTATTATTCTATTACTTTATGATTATCTTTAGTCTCTTCCAAATGTTCTGCTCTGTTTGCACCAGCCTAAACCAGAGGAGCTACAATCTGTTATGTGGTACTATCTGATATGAATAACAACCAAAGTGGAGCATGTTTCCAGTTACACTGACATGGTACGGCTGAATTTAGCCATCCAGAGCTGTAACTGCAACCCGTAACATGTTTTTAGCTCTTGCTCAGAGATCAAGGGGCAGAAGCTGCACAATCTGTCTGTGTACCCATTTCCCAGTGCCCAGCAATCATCAGGTGAAGCCTTAAAACAATTTTTAGTGACAAAGTGTTATGAGAGTTTTGCTGCCCTGAATTATTCAAGATGTCAGAAGAAATGTTTTGTTTATGAAGCCGCAAGTACCACAGACAGGGGAGACTAACAGCTGCTGGAAATCAAGGACATTCACGTGCTCTATTTTTCATATGTGCACGTTTTAATGCCTTATAGATGTTAGAGAAAATTTACAGTAAAGGTAGAAATAGAACTTCTGTATCTAAATAGGGAGATTTACAGATAAACATATGTATTTGGTAGCTTGCATTTCGGACTTTTATAGTGTAGAGCTTCAGCTGAAGTGTTATGATTACACATGCCAGCAGACAGGATTGCGAGGCAGAATGCCGGAGTCACAACTTTATAAAGAAAAGAGCTTTCAAAGGCCTCAATCTCTTTCCTGCGCATGACCAAAGGTTTCCACTTATTGCAGCCCTGGTGGCTGCTGCTTCACATTCCCTCATGGACAAGAGGAGACAGGGTTTTGTAAGGTGTAAGATCACACAGACAGCTTACCCCAAAATTACTGTGACGCTGTAGGGTGAAGGGCACAGCTGAAGGCAAAGCTTCTGCTGTTTCTGTGACAAAGCTCTTGCAAGGCTTTCCTTTCTCCTGCTGTTGTCCAGAGTTGACAACAGTTATCATTTAACTTTTTCCTTTCTAAACTTTCCTGAGCCCATAATCAGGGGTCTGAGGGAAGGATGAGGCAAATTACTTGGACTCCATAAAGACTGACTTGAATTTTTCCCTTATCTTCAATTTATTGGGTCAGTAAACTTTAATCCATATTTTACTTCTTCGTTTCTTGTCTTTGTCCAGAGTTTGCATGATGTGAATGCTGTGAAGTAAACCATTCACTAAGTATTTCTTAAAATATTCAGTGAGACCTACATGTCCTGAGATACCTGTATTTTGCCAGGAGTCTCAGTGAGCTGTGCAAAGCCCCCTCCACTGCCAACCGAAATAAATCAAGGAAGGCCTCGCATGCAGCATACTTCTCTGAAGCTAATATCTAAAGACTTCACAAGTATCTCTTTTTCTCTCCCTCATTACCGTTGGTTTTAAGTGGCTGCCAGGATTTGCTGCAGATGGGAAAATAGCTTTTCTTCACCCCCTCACCCTCTGTCACCAAATACACAATTATCAGAAGAAGCAGTTCCTGTAAAATATGTTTTCCAATAAGAGCGCACACATTTTGAGCTGTATTATTACAGTTTCACTTGATAAAGCAGTAAAGCATGTGTAATTTCAAACGAGAGAAGTCCGGCCGACCTCAATAACAGATACATTTACTGGCTGAAATAGTAGCTATCATTTGAGATAGACACATGAAGAAAATTCCACATAATTCAGGTATTATGAGAGCAGATCTTGTTTCCAGGGATGTACTGGAAGGCACAAGCAATCCCTTAGCTACCAGTTAGCTTAGCTGGTAAAAAGCATGGACACTCCTACTGAACAAATAAACTATGCGATGCCTGCAGCTAGGAATTGGGCTTGATGATCCTGATCTGTGTGAGAGGCATCGCAGGAGAAACATAGCAGCATTAATCCCTTTTGCACATTTTTTTTTCTTGGCAGAAAACGCTAGTAATTGCCTTTGAAGTGCCAGTGCAACAAATTATGCTGAATGACTTCAGCTGCTTCGTTCTGCCCGTGCGTTCCTGCCAGCACAGGGAGTTCAGGGGCAGCAGATGGGGACAGTGACATTTCGAATGGGAAGAGATGGGGAGGGAGGAAGGAAGGGAGAGAGGGAAGGGAGGGCAGCTCATGCCTGCAGAGCTCAGGGGAGGGAGGACAGGAGAAAGGGGGTTTGGAAACTCCCCCCACTGGCGTTAGAAATGACTGGAATTTGGAAATCCGCAAAACAGTCACTGTGCACACACGCTTCTCTTGTGGATCCCAGGCACAGGGGTCTTGCTGCATGGCTGCTGTAGATGGGTATGTCCATAACCTCTTTTCTTCAAGATACATTTTACTACTGGCAAAGAGAGAACTTATATATATGCATATAAAATTATATATATATCTATACATACACGTGAATGTATTTGGCCAGGTAACGTGACAGTTTTCCAAAGCTTCTCTCTGCAAGAACCCCCCTTTTTTTCTTGGGCTTTAGCCTAAACAGCTGCTTTAGCTCAAGGTGTTGTGATTTTAAATTTAATTTTCTTACTAACATAATTTCTTACTGACATAACTAAGAAAGAAAAAACTGTAATAGCAAACCTTGCTCTGTGCACACAGAAGGGAATGATCACTTATTTTGAGCATTATGGTTCCTGTCTGCCTGTTTTTCTGCCCTGTATCAAACTTTCAAGTACTATGGAACAGATGATAATTTTTTCTCAAATTGTAACTTCTGCTAACAGGGCACATCCACTGTGGTTTTTGTTCTACAAGGGGTTTGGCATCTCTCCTAAAGAAGTAACTCCATACTGATTATGAAGTTGAATTAATTCTTCCATATAGTCTGTTCAGCCAGATTCAATTTAGACATTTCACTCCATTACCCCTATTTTTTGTACTTTTAATATAGTAGTGTTGCTTAACAATTTAAATAATGCAAATTAAAAAAACTGCCAGCAATACAACCCTAGAATAATTATGTGTAAATCCAGAAAAGCAGCATTCTGGCATTAAGTCTCTGAAAGCAGCAGAATCAAAAAATCTGTCTTTCACTTATGAGATGCATAAAGGAGGAAGTAAACAAAACATAATGCATATGGGAGTGATTTGTTGTGATCTCTGACCCTAAATTAACTCTGTTTTAGAATGTCTTGACTTTATTTCACGTTTGAGTATCAGCTGAACAGACTGGTAGTTATCTTTTGTGATCATACATTGCACTAAGGAAATCTGCTCTACATCAGTGGACATTGCATGTAGTGGAATTGTCCTAATATCTTTAAAACATTAAAGATGTTTTAATAGCATAGGTATAATATAGAGAGAACAGTGAAAATCATTAATGAACGTTTCATGTCTGACTTAGAAAAACTGTCAGCAGCAACATGACTTTCTGGTTCCCAAGCTAGCTTCCAGTGACTTTAACTAACTGCTAGATATACAACTTCTCTAACCTGTAAAAGTTCTAGTGATTTCAATACTCTAATTACAAAGCAAAGGAGTTCCTAAAAAAACCAAAAAAAGCCCTAAAGATATTGCTTATCTAGCACAATCTAAAATCATAAAATAAAATGTTCTCAGATGAGTAATAAGGAAAAACAAATGGCTGGGTGAAACAATTTTTATAATTTGTGGACATTGTCTATTTATTGTGACCAAATAAGAGTAGTGGGCTTCAACTCATTTAGATTTGAGGAGTAGAGTCATTTAGAAATTAGTAACTTCAAAAAAAAAGTCAAAAGTAGATGCTTCAGCAAATAAATATTTCTCTGCTTTTTGGTTTTGACAAATTGCCAAGGAAAGACTGTGGTGCCACTAAATTGTGATTTGGCTGATAAACTGTGATAGTCTGCTTGACAATTTGAGTTGTTCTATAGAGTATGGGTACACAGCCCAGTTCTGAATGACTTTACATGTCTTCTGGCATCTATGTGGAAAGAGCAGCATTGAGACTTTACAAACAGTACAACAGGAAGCGAGATGTTGAGGAGAGCTGACTAAATCATAGATTTTAACTTTGTAAATTGCAATTTTCTTTTAGTGTTTTTACATTTATAAAGAGAAAATTTAGAACAAATAGGACAAATAGATCAATAGATCTTTCTTATGCATCTTTAGAAATATATGGCTGGGGTAAACAAAATTTAGAATGGAGCGGAATACAACAGAGCAGAACAGAACAGAACAGGTCTATTTCAGCTGGGAGGGACCTACAACGATCATCTTGTCCAACTGCCTGGCCACTTCAGAGCTGACCAAGAGCTAAAGCATATTTTAGTGACAACCAGGATCTGACGTGCCAACTTGTAATAAGCTCTACTAGAGGTTTTGTGCATCTCCAAATCTTGCTGAAGCTGAGAACTAGACATGCTCAGCAATACGTATTTTCATATATGTCAATCTTAGCACAGTCATAAAGCAAATGATTTTATTTAAGTGTAGATGATAAGTCCAGGAATTGGCCATGGGAGCACCAGAAGGCAATGACTTTTTCTGGCCTCGCCAGAGGGGCAGCACTCTGCAAAGTCCACAGTCACTTCTTCTGCTATGATGGAAGAGGAAACACAGCTGATCCCTTTACATTG